ATTGGATACCAAGCTAGCTAAAACCAAACATCTTGCAAAATTTTCTCATCAACCAAACATTGGAAAGCTTCTATGAGATAATATGTCCCAACAAACAAACACAGGTACCTAAGTTGAGAAAATAAAATTTTACTTTCTCATCCCATTGTTCCTCAACAACCAAATGGACTATTAGTGATTCTTTTGTATTTGGAACATTTCTTCCTTGTTCCCTTTTGATATCATGATTGTCTTAGAAAATCAGCTTAAAATTCTTATAAAAATGACCACACTTCACTCACTTAAATTAATTACTTAGGTGGCGTTTGATAAATCTGAAATCTTAAAAGTTAAAAAGATGTTAAAAGTGTCTAAAATCTGAAAAGAGGCATAGATGCTTTTCTACTTTTTAGAAGGTCTGATTGATTTCAACATCTGAAATTCCCTAAATTACTATTTTACCCCTTAAACAGACTATGTTGTAATTTTGAGTTCAATTTTCATTATTTCATATAAATAATTTATTAAATTCAAAATAATATTAAAAATATGAGCAAATTATAAAAATAAAAAATACTTTATTAAAATAAGAATAAAATTGAAAAATACATATAAATTCATATTAAAAATAAATTATTAAGAGTTAAAATAATAATGAAAATAGTAATAAAATCTATGAAACAATGAAAAAAAATATTTAATAATGGTCAAATTATTAAATTAAAACTATTAAAATATTTAAAAACTTATAAAAATTAAAATAATTAATAATTAATACAAATAAAAATTATAAAAAATAAAAACATTAATGTTTAATAAATTTATAATTTGATAATTATTAGAAATAAATTTATATGTTATAATTCAGCTTCTCTCTACCACTCTTGAAACCTTCTTGCTGCTTCCTTCTCCCTATCATGAACTCCACAGGCACAACCACTGAGCTAGACTCAAAATCCGAGCCGTTCAAATCTCCATCAACTCCCTGGTGTTATCTAACTCCCCACCCTACCTCGAATAGCACCACTGTCGGCCAACTGAGAACAGCGATAGTGGCGGCTGACAAGAAGAAAGGGGGAGGGGGAGAGAGAGAGAGAGAGAGGGACTGAGAAATTGAACAGGACCACCACCGACTGATTGAGAACAACAATAATGGCTGCCTTGACATGGGAGAGAGAACACGAGAAAGAGGGAGGGAGGGAGAGGGAAATCGAACAGGACTGCCGACTGAGAACACCACTGCGGAGAAATTGAATAGGGCCACCGCCGGTCGACTGAGAACAGCGGTAGTGGTGGCCGGCAAATATAGTGTTTGTTCGAGTTCCCTGTCACCATCTCCCTTCGAGTGTTGTCCTGTGTCACCGATGGTTAGGAGTTGAAAGAAACAAATTTGGGTTTAAAAAGGGATATCCATTTCAATATTATGAGGGGCATTTAAGACTTTCAGACACATTTGGAACGTGTTTGAGCACGTTCAGTGATGGCCCGCAATCTAAACATTTCAGATCTGAAACTCAATTTCAGATCAATTTTAAGATGCATACCCAAATGCTTATGGAATCTGAAAAGTAATGTTTTCAGATTTCATACCTCTTAAAAGCGTTATCAAACACCACCTCAGTGTGCATTGCAATACGTTCTCTTCTTTTCAATTTGATAGATGTTCATAGCAAAGGTTAACCCATCAAGTACGTTCTCTTCTTTTCAATTTGAAGCTTTTTGTTGCTTGTAGTGGTTGTTGAATCCACCTCCACCTGGATTCTTATATAATCATTAAGAAACTGCTGCATTTCCGTTTTCCTATCTACTGCTAAGCACCTTCCCTTTCGCCTCCACCACCTTACTCCCCATGAGCGGGTTGTTCGCCTCCATTGGTAAGATGTATATTTTGACCCAAAGGCTGCATTTGGTTGCAACACAATTTTATTTACACTAGTACAAATACATGGGAGTACAAATAAAAAATATGCAAATTTTGGTTTAATTTTGTTTTGGATTTTATTCTGTTATGCTTCAGGTCTTATTTTATTTCATTTTTACTGCAAATAAGTAAAATAAAGGTAAAGTTTGAAATAAAAGTAAATCAGAATTTTCACCCAAATCATTTGCACTACCAGAGTTTTGCACTAATGCAAATAAATTTGTGTTGCAACTAAACACAGCCAAAGTAAGTGCAACCAAATTTGTATATCAGCCAAACACACCCAAATCATGGCTGAATTGTATCGATGCTAGGCCTGTGTTTTTCCCCTATGGTTGAATGAGTAGTAATTGGCTTGTCGAAGTTCCAACTTCCATGGCCTATTTTTGACCACTCCTTGCATATCACCTTTGTGCCTAGAATAGGGGTGATCATGGGCTAGGCTTTGCACTTGTGATAAGGCTATAACCTAGGCCCGGGAGCCTATGCTTGAAACATAAACTGATCCAGACCTGATTATAAACCTATATATTGTATGCATAAAACAATATACATAATATTTCCTATATTATGTCATATAATATGTATACAAAATTTATTTTATAAATTGTATAAAATAACAAATACTAAATTTGCATTTCAATATTTTTAACCTTGCATTTAAGGAGATGGGGCCCAAACAAAAGTGAGAATTATTGTTAATAATTTTACTTCAGTCCAGATCTCCGACTCTTAACCAAGGTTCAAAAAATTTTGCAAAGTATATCAGTTGATACGCTATGCAGAACGTGTAAAAATCATTTGTTCCGTTTCTTTTCATATGTATCACGTCAATACAGGCCCATATCAGGCTGTTTTAGCTGATACGGGCCCAAAACAGTCCAACACAACCCAATACACTTGATTTTTTTAGGTGCCCTTCATTCATTAATCTCTTTAATTACTTCTATATTTAATTCTAACTTTTCTTTCATTAATTAGTCTTTTATTCCTACTTTAACTTTTCTTTCATTTTGTTAGTATAAAAACTAGACTTTAAACAATGGCAAGATTCGGACTAGTCACTAGGTTTTAACAACCATGAGTCACCACTAGGCCATGCCCATTTGTTTGTTATGGTCATATGCATTATAATTTTTAAGTAAATTTTCTCTTTTCTTAATAGATATTTATTAGTAAATGCTAGAATTAATTATTAAAATTTATATACTAATAAATATTAATATAAATTGATGTACAGATAGCATTTATATTGGTTATTTGAAAATTGATGTATATACATTCATATTTTAGTTTTTTTCTCACATTTTATTTATTCCATCATTTTTCAACAATTATTGATTGTAATTATTTATAATTAAATGATTATAAATATGGATTTTTACATTTAAATAACTTATTTACAATCATTTAAAACTTGTAATTATTGTTAGTAATATATTTTTTAGGATATATTTGAATTTCCTAAAATATTTATAGTATCTTAATTTTTCGTCCATATCTATGCGTATCCAAAGCGTATCTTGATACGTCTCTTAAGATTGTCTTTCCGATATTGTTTGCGTTTCTAATACTTTGAACCTTGTGTTCAGTTATGGTGCCTTGTGGATAGAGAATCTAGACTCTTCTGAATGCAAGTTGGATGTAGCTCTTGGATACAAATTTCAAATTCGGACCCTGTGGTCCTTGGAGTACAGCCCAATAGCTTTCAAGAGAAAATACCATTGTTTTCAACCCACCATTGATGCGGTCAGTTAAACCATTTGAATTGTCACCTGACCAGGATTTTAGGTCTGTTTCAGTCAAAACCCATTAGGTGGTCAAAAACCATTGATTTGGTAAAAAATTGTCTGATCCAATCAGTTCAACTGTTGACTTGTTAGACCTGGTCATTGGGTTGCGGGTTGCATACTCAAAGCATGCAAACTTTTAGAGGCCATAACTTTGCACTTTGATGTTTGATTGTGGTGATATATATATATATATATATATTTTTAGTTTGAGTAACTTTTCGAGATCTATGCATCCCAAGGTGGCATAAACACCTTTGTTGGCCACAAATTGCAAATTTTAATACTTTCATAAATAAAAAATAAAAATGAATTAAAAACATAAATTAAATATAAAAATACATATAACATATCTAGTGAGGAGTAATTTGGCCCTCTAGTGACATCACGACACATGGCACCCCATAACCATCATATAACACCTCAATACCATGTAAGCATTGACTTTGGAAGTACTTCAGATACATCGCGCCTGTCTCAACCTCCTCGACCCCACCTCAATAGGCCGACCTATGGATGCCCTGGAAGATGTCAGGTCGGTGTAAGAGGCGTCTTGCCTTTACTAACCTAACCAAGGTTTGATTGGTGACTTGCACGATGTGATGGGTGACCTCCTTCATGAGCAGGTTATCATCTCCAACTGATTTAGGACCACATCGCTACACCGATGGAATTGACTCTCGTCCTACCCGCTTAAGAGGCAATCAGATAGGTGTTATCAATTTACGCAAATTCCGTCTCTGGCATGAAATTACCCCCAAACCAAACAAGCCGGTGATCTCAGACACGTTACATGAAGTCCACAACAACCTCTCCCTATATAAAGGTGCCCCATTCCTCAAAAAAAGCAAGTGCGATTTAGCTCTCAAGCATTCTAGCTCTCTTACTTTTTAACTCTTACAATTCTTTGCTGACTTAAGCATCAAAGTGCCCACCCCAAATACTCTAACTGTTCTCTTATAGTTTGGCCTTCCAACCTCACATGCTGACGTTTGAGCTGTCATTCCAGCAAAGAATTACTGGATCGTGCTACATCAATATATATATATATATACATACACACACATTTGGGGCAATTTGATCCATTCAACTCGGACCGTCAAACCAATAACCTACAACCCGGAGACAAAAACAGTTCGACCTCGGAATACCACCCACTTTTGAATTCGATGAATCCTAATGTTTTCGAGAAAGCCTTGGGGCTAAGCTTTGTCATGACATGACCATGTATTTCCATTTGCCCTAGTTTTGACCAGTTTGTTTGGAAAAGTAAAACTACCATCATAAGAACACCTTTTCTAGATTTCTGGTTCAACGGAATACACTTTTTATAGAGCACTATGAACTGTATTCCACAAAATTTGTGGTTCATAACCACAATGTTTTACATTTCCAACGAGTAGGAATGAGAATGATACGCAAAAGCAGACCAAGCCAAACACCACCTAAAAAAGGGTAAGCTTTTTTGGCCAATGAAAGCAAGTCACCCTCCCAGCTGTAATTCTGAACAAAGCCACCACATCATGCAACGTACACATGCTACTTCTATCAGTAACAGCATCAAGTAGTTGATAATAGCAGAAAACATTAGCAATAATAGAAAGCACAAGAATGCCATTGTTAACAGTTAACTCACAGTAACAACAATACAAACCACCAAACAAAGTGTCTGATCATAAAGGATTCAATCCTTATTTAGAAAGCCCATACTAGAAAATGACAAGGGATAAATCCCTTGGTTTCTCGTGAAGTAGAACCTTCAAATATAGAACATGGTCTTCTTCAGATTCTGAGCCAAGGTTGGGAGTTGTCTAACGGGGATATCTGCAGCCTGGGTATAGTCTGCTGAGCTAGCATCCGATGATGAATCATGACCCAAGTAAAAGCGTGCACGAAAAGCAGCCAAATGAGCGTAATATGCTGGTGCCACTGTAATTGTTATACATCAAATTTGCCAATATCAGCACAAGCATATCTAGAGGAGCAAAAATATGCAAACAAAAGCAATACACAGAGGCAGGGTTAGTGATAAGTGTAGTTTTCACTACACTTATCACTACAACAGGCTTACCATATGAAACGGAACGAGTGCATCTTGAGTATCTGAACATTGAAAAAAGAGAGGAATTGGTTAAATTCAAATGCCTATCGTTCAGCCAAAAGGAACATTGAAAGAAACTTAAGCAAAGTGAAATAAATACATGTAACAAAGATTGTTGGTCAGAGTCTGGAGTTGATCTGCTTTGAATTTGTTCTCATCCCATAAAACATGATAATGAGTTGGACGGCTTGTTCCCTTTCAACCACAAACACCAATGCATCATTGAAAATTATATGTAAGAACCACCATCATCTAAGCTATATCATAAACAAGAAAAACTTCAAAAGTAAAGAAAACAAATAAAAAAGATATACCTTGATGCCTCTATGGCTTAACAAAAAGAAGTCAAACTGTGAATGATGGCAAATATCAGAATCCACCACAGTTCCTGCAAAACATTATCACAAGAACAAGGTGTCGGGTCCAACCAAGTTAGAATGCAAAAAACTTATTCAAATTAGAATTTGATAATTGCAAACGCTATGGTTAGTTGCAAAGAAAATGGAAGAAAGGGAAAAAGAAAATAAAAAAAGCAGTGACTTCCCTCAGTTTGGTTCAAAAGAGAAGCCAAATTAGAAAAGAAAACTATGATAAAATAGGAAGGTAATTCTTCTATTTGACCTCCTTCAATCTAGATAGAAAAACAGAGGAAAATAACGGGGACTGAGAAGAAACAAAATACGCCCCCCTCCCACCACCACCACCACCAGAAATGAAAAGAAAAATATATAGGCATCTTACCAGGTATAACATTCCCACTCTTCTGATCCACTGATCTAAAATCATTATGGTTGTAAGGAAACAACCTTGTGTGATGACGTTTTTGGACCACAACAAATGTTATTGGAGGTGCAGAAGACTCAGGCGCAAGAGAGATCCATGCCTGTTAAAAATTAAAAGGAAAAAAAGATAAAAAAACACGGAAAATGAAACTGTTCAAGTTAATATTAAAATGCATAGACCAGGTAGGAAACACAAAAGGGGGAAAATTGTATAATGCATATTTAAAGAGAGCAACTTTCCAATAACCTGCTTAATTGCTCTCAGTTCATGCTGCAAGACGTGATGAAATTGGCCTTCACTAACACCATCCCTGCAAAAGGCAGAAGTATTGATACAATCATTTTGGAGGACAACTATAAACAATAAATATTGTAAGTCAAAAGGGATACCTGTAGAATATAATCCTTTCAGGCTTACGCTTATTATTGGCTATATAAGACAAAAGATGTTCTCTGCAGAGAAAAAATGAGTTCATAATGAAAAATGGCAATGGTACAATGATCCTAAAAGACAACAACCACTTAAAACACTTGGAGAAGAAGAGAAGAAAGAGCTGACCGTATCATTCCACCACATATCTTCTTTCCATGTAATGGATCTTTACATTCTGTGTACAGATCCTGGATCATTTCTACACGACTAGCTTGAGCAGAAAATAAGCAAGCATATTTTGTTACCTCTGGCCAATCTTGTGAAGCAACAACCTGCATAATGTTTAGGAAACAACAAAAGTTCTCAGTATAAACAGATGTATGATCCATAAGAGAAACAATATCATAGTTGCTCTACAAAATCTTTTCCATTTTATTCCTTTCTTTTGGATGGTTAACAGTTTTTTTTTTTTTTTTAAATTGGTAGGATAAGTAACAGATTTCATTAAACATTGATGAGAACGAAAATATACAGGGGAAAAAAAAATAAAAAAGGTCTAGTTGTTCCCTCTCTACACTGATATGAAATTGGTAAAAGCAGGGGAGACCCACAAATGAAAGACCTGATGACCTCTCCCCCCACACAGAAAACAGTCTCCAGAAATCCCAGAACTCCAACAAATGCCCACCCAGAGGCTCCATAAACCTAAACTCTAACAAGACACTCCACAATGAGCTAGCAGCCCCTCAGCGAAAGCCAAAACAACCATCTAGTCCCCTGACTACAGAATCCTTTCCTAATTCTAATTAGTGATAACCACCCTGCCACGCCTCCCTCTACTGCCTTTGTCTTGAACTCTCCCTGTGGATTCAATGCAACTGGACCATTGACAAGACCTTCCTGATTTTCCACATCTAAAACCTGGCAACAGACATGCTCAGTGACCCTGCCTTTCACCTTCCATCCTAACCATAAAAACCTAAACAAGTAGAAAAAAATGACCTAGAATGACTTCCACGTGTGGAACAGAATTTTACATCTTACCGCAGCAATAGAAGGGCTTCTTAAATCCCCTGGACTGGGATGTGTTACATCAGCACCAAAAATTATTGTAGGTTTGTCACTAACCATAGGCATGCACCGATTTACTATATCCTCGAGCACTGTGTTTCTTCCACCAACCTTCCAAACCAAAAATAAATAAATAAATAACAATAATGATGATGATGACAGTAACAATGATACTGATAATATTCATACAATGAAAAAATTATAACTGATGAAAAATTTTAGCATGGCTTTAGCCCACCTTTGCATTTATCTTCAGGGCAACATTTGCCAGATATTGTTTATGTGGTTTACTTACGTTCTTAGCTAAACAACACTGTGATATCATACCAAGTTTGGTGTCACACTTTCGCTTGAATTCCCCTACAAACCAAACAGCATTCCGGTGACCATATAAAGATGGAAAGCTGAAATAACTTTCGGGTAAACAATGTTGAAATAGCTATCCTGAAACAACAAACCATTTCTTACAAAAGTTAAGGAACATGTAGACAAACTAATTCAAAATTAAATCTTGAAGTATTTCCTCCTTCTGTCATCAATTTTTGCATGTATTTACATATTATCAGAACATTACGTGGTTAACTAACAAGGTAGAATAGTAGAAGCATGATTTAAAATATCCCCGTATTTCCTAAAATTTCCACAACATTTTTCCATTCCATGGATAGAAAAAATATTACTGGAACAGACATATTCCACAAGGAAAACTACTAGTGCTATGCAGAGTACAAGAGAAGAGACAGTATTATAACATAAGTTGGTGACAATATTTTAGATATGTGTAGTATCAGTGTTATTTCCCTTCTAATTGACAGGAATACCACTTTGATCCAGCTCAATTTTTTTTTAAATGAACTTAAATCTTAGTTTTTATTGTATAATGAATTATTTGGTGGATGTATAGAACCATTTGCTATTTCTATGACTTTAAGTTTTACTTGAACTCACTCTATGATGTAGTTTTGACTCTTAAAAGTTTATAGGACAACATCATAGCATATTATGTTATCTATTAATTTTGGTTTCTCAGCTTTGTGTGAGGATTTAGAACAAGATAATAATTTAAAAAGGTCCACCCACACATCTTATATCATTACATAAAACAGCATTCTATATTTTTGCATATTTCAAAATGTTTCCACCATGTCTGTACTTTTTACAACATTCCTATATAATATTTTCAACATTTCGAAATGTTTCTTATATTTGGATAAGATGCTGGAAAAAACAAAACAAACAAATAAATAAATAATGGGAATGATTTTTTATACTTTTCTAGATCACCAAGTTTTCTATAATGGATGAAATTATCACTTAGAATAACTTTCTATGTGAAGTTTTGTTACTAAGTATACTTTTATAGTATTAGTTCATATGATAGTCAAGGACATCCCATGTGCAACACTAGACATAAATTTTCAATTATACAAAGAAATGGAAAGAAGAGTTAAAAATATAGTGTTCCTAAAACATCTCTTCATTAAATTTTGTCCAACTAATCCATACCATAAAGAGCACCATTATTGTCAGGCAAAATAGCAATCAGCAGATCAAGTTCTTTTCCACAAGGCTTGAGCACAGACATTGCATCTTGGTATAAATTTTCTAAAGCTGTGTCCACTTCTTGAGGTACCTTTCTTGGTGGAAGTATTGGTTCAATATTAAATTTCTGCACAAAATTATTTAATAAAAAGTTAAGAGTATCCCTCCAGATTAATAACCAATAAACAACAGCAGGAAAGTGCATCCATACCATGCCTGAAACATGACACATTCGTCCAAGTGCATTGCAAAATTCACAAGCAATGGGATCTGACACATTGTCTGCAAAATTTATGCATGTCCAAGTGTTCACAGTACCTCCATCAACCATTTTCTGAAATCTCAAGAGAAAATGTATAAGTTTCAAGTTAAACATAAAATTCAATAATTTCATAGTTTTACATGATAATAGGGAAAGAGAGGAGAAAAAAAAACCTGTCGAGGCATGAAGCCTTCTTCACCATATATAGTTTCACAATTTTACATAAATAAAATGACTAGAATAACCTTGGTCATGAAACCTACCAAGTACAGATATTCCAACACTCCTCAACACTCAAGATGAGCATAGATATTTATCAATGGTATGAGATCAAACCCAATATGTTTGTAGAGGCTATGGCGCTCTTACACGGTACAGATTTCTACCATGGGAAAGGGGCAAATTTACAATGGGACCATTGGAAAATCTTGCATGTGGCACTATAGACAAGATATCATTTTCAACACCATGGAGGAATTGCCTAACCAAATTAAGGAGGTTCTCAATTCGGTTAGGCATATTGAGTTATCTCTTTGTCCTTCTATCCTAAGTGAACTCTGATATGTACTGCTATTATTAAATTTACATAGCATATATATATTTTTTGGTCCTAGTTATTTTAAAACCTCTTGTTTATATGATATTTGTCCATAAAATTAATTTTGCATTTAATCCCTTGTTAGTTTCTTTTACAATGTCATCAGTCAACAACAAGCACCATGGGACCACCCACTTGAATATGTTTAATCGATTCATCTATGATTAGTGCAAATAAACAAGGACAAGACAACAAGCACCATGAAACCTCATCTTTAATCCAACTAGAAAATGAGTCCAATGAAGACAATCATAGATGGTACAATCTACCAACTTGCCTTCATCTGCTTATATAAAAGGCAATTAACCAATGTGGGTCCCAGCTATATAGGCTCCTGGGATGGGAGACTGGATAATGTCTATGTTATCAGGTATAATGTTAATCTCTTTCCTTCCATCCTGACCAATCAGTGGAAAGGGAAAACATATATGATTCCTCCTCTTTTCCCAATTGTGAGGTTTCAAAGAAGAGATCAAGTCATTGAAGGTTCTATGCATCACCAAGACTTAAAACGTAAATACTCAAGAAGATGTGAAGCAACAAATGTTCCATGGCTTGTGCCCCTGCTCAACATAAGATGAAGCCAATAAACATAACTTAACCTCAAAGCTAAGAAGTCCACTAAAAAGCACCAAAACTTAAGTACCCAGAAGTCTAGGACCAAAAATATGAAGGCCTGTTTGAGTCAGCCCTCCCTTTCACCAAAAAAATATCAGAAAGAGATGCAAATGTGAACACACCTTTCCAAAGGTTCTATTATTTCTCATTTGCACAAACCCAAAATAAGAAAGGAGTGCGTCTGCTTTTAGTGCTACTTTTTTGAAGGCTTTTTAGTGCTTCTTAACTCCACGTCAAAAAGGCATGCTGCATTTGCTTCAGTAGTATATTATAATAGTTATTTGTAACCAGACCGGACCATACAGTTGGACTGGTTGACCCAGGATCCGATCATGGCTCCAAGTCTGGTTTTGGACCCAAAACAGTGACTAGGGTTCAAACTGGACAGTTGGACCATTTGACCCAGGAACCAGTTGCCAAAACAGTCCCATTTCCGGGTTGGTTTTTAAAACCATGATCATAAATAGAGAATAGAGCATCACAGTGAGTAAATTTTATAACTACAACATAGCATCACAATTTATGCCATATCTTAGAGGTCAACTCAATCCTGAGATGCCGAGCCATGTCAAAATTCCTAATTGGAAAGCTACACCATTCCCGAATAAAAGATGCAAATTGAATTTTAAATGCATGCTTCCGGATTATAAATGCATTCTTTTGACTTGGATCCAGACCATACCTTGTTCATCATGTTCCACTGCCCCACTTGTGGCTTACAAGTCTTCTCACTCCCACTGTCATGATATTTAAGCTGTGTCATCATAATAATGAAAATGTCATTACAGATTGAAAAGCATTCAAAATGCAGGATTCAGACAAAGATGGGCAACCAATTTTAAAAGGTAATATCAATTTACATACTCTGGGTGCAGGCAACACATGTGCTTGAACTGAAGCAAGATTATCACTGATTTTCATACCAAACTCCATAGCATATATGTCTTGCCGATAAAGATGACCTGTCTGAAGATAAAATTGAGTTTATATGAATAGTCACATTCTGCCAAGGTGCATAAATTAAGAGCTCAAACCATAAAGATTTCAGATCCAGCAATGGCATATATGAGGAAATTAATTCACAAACCACTAACCACAAAAAGATAAATATTAAAAGAATATGGAGGCCTAGCTTCAAAATCAAGGAAAATATTGTATTCCAGACCTAGGACATTACTAGATTCTGAAAATATAAAGTACAGTTAGATAACATCTTGACAAGATAACTTCTAGTTTAAAAGTAAAGTGCACTTTCAGTACAGCATAAATTGACACATTAAGAAAACAAAGATTCACCATAGCATCTAAAAAATTTTGCTCATTAAAGGAAAGTTAGCTTGTCCAGAAAGATGTGAATTTGATGCAAATGCAATATAGGCTACATATTAAAGTCTGTAAGAATTCTCATGCTTCATGGATTTATTGTTATAATTGCATAGAGACCAAAGCCACAAAATTTTATTAGAAAGGAAAAAACAATGAAGACAAAACATGAACCATAACCATACATATATAACAAAATGTGAAAGGGGATAGGAGTACCTCCAATAGGTGATAAAATGAGAGTAAGTAGACTAAGATGGTTTGGTCATGTGTGTAGAAGACCATCCACAGCACCCTTAAGAATAAGCTATCTATTGCAAGTTGAAGGGGCTAGAAGGGCTAGGAGCAGAAAAAAGGACATGGGTTGAAGTAGTAAGAAATAAATGCTCATAATTTAACAACAAATATGGCACTAAATATAACAGAATGATGAAACAGGATTCATGTAGCCAATCCTATATAGTTGGAACAAGGCTTAGATGATGACGATGATGTGTACTCAGGAACATCCATAAATATGAGGTCAGACCATACTCCCCTCCCAAGACATAACATATCCAATTCAAAGTTCAAACAAAAGATCCAGTCTGGAAAAATATTACCACAGAATTTACAGTTAAGTACATATTCCCTTCAAAAGGTATTCTCTAGCTGTCCTTCCAAATTCCCTAACAAACAGAAAAGCAAAACAAGCACTAGGAAATTCTTCTCCTTCACTACCTAAAATTCTTAGCCAAGCTTCAAATAGCCCATGGCATTATTTGGTTTGAATTACACTATTCTAAACAAGGAAAGGAAAAGGATTTAATTGTTAGCTATCTCATAATTTAGGAGCATATGTATATCCATGATGTTCTATTCCCTGTTGCACATCATACCTAATTAGCATCTTGTAACCTCCTGGTCCTAATACTTATTGAAGTTACCAAGCAGCATATTCTAATATGTGGTGACATTTTGCTTTTTCAAGTTTACTTTCTTATGCATAGTGAAGAGAATAGAAGGAAGGTTATGATGATGCAGTCTACAGATTTCTTTGCACATGCTGCTATAGCAAAGAAAGCCCGTGTCTACATCTATGGGTCATGCAAGAGAGGGCAAGGAGGTTGTCTGCGATTATTACAAGAAACCTAAACAGAGAGGATTTTTGTTGGAAGCAAGGTTCAAATATCGATACAGGGTGATACGCCGGTAGGGCATATTGGCCTGTATCGGTACTGTTTTATTTTTTGTTTTTTCTATTTTTTTTTCAAATCTGGTTCAGAGGGGCCGGTCTACCCCCTGAACCACTCGCCGACCCGAATACAGGGTGATACGCCGGTAGGGCATATTGGCCTGTATTGGTACTTTTTTGTTTTTAATTTTTTTTCAAATCTGGTTCAGAGGGGCCAGTCTAAGGCTGGTCTACTCCCTGAACCACTCGGCAACCCAAAACACCCCCCGTAGAGGTGTATTGGGAAGGCTCTGTTATGATACGTATCGGCTGATATGTGACGATATTTTGAACCTTGGTTGGAAGTTGCATTCACATCTGAAGGCCGATCAATTCAAAAAAAAAAGAGGGGAATGCTAATGTTGTCACCACACCTAGTAAGGAGTCGTTACCAGAGACTCTTCCACCATCTAGAGCTGAATTTGAGAAATACAGTAAGTATCTGAGTCAGCTTGAGAGTACATCATGAACTGGGCTTTAGGCTCAGGCTTCAGACTGGGTCCATTCAAATTTTGGCAAAGGATAAGCCTGACCCTGACCTATTTACAAGTCTTTTTTTCTTTTTTTTTTATGAATGCTTATTTACAGGTCTATTGACAAGTCTCTATCTCCTATTTTGGGAAAGGTAGTAAGAATCACTAGTAGGTTGACACTTTTCTTTGTACTTCATGTTCCTAAGTGTAGTATGTTTTCTTGGTGCTGAGATGCTGTGATTCCAGAACAGAGAGAAGAGAAGGAGAAGGAAGAAGAGAGAAAAGAGAGACAAAATTGAAAGAGGCAAAAGTCCACTAGCGGCACCAGTTTATTTGGTATATATACTAGGGCGACCATACATAAAAAATAAAAGATAAAATTACAAAGGTGCCCTTGCGGCACTAAACTTAAAATAAAACTAAGTTATTTCAACACTCCCCCTCAAGTTGGGATGTAGATATCAATCATGCCCAACTTGTCACATAAATCATCGTACCGCAAGTGATGTAAGCCTTTTGTAAATATATCTGCCAGTTGCTCCTTGGAATTCACATATGGGGTGCACACTTCCCCATTAACAATTTTCTCTCTAATGAAGTGTTTGTCAACCTCTATATGCTTAGTTCTATCATGAAGAACTGGGTTGGCTGCAATATTGATGGCAGCCTTGTTATCACAGTACAAGGACATAGGGCTATCAATAGGAAAACCCAGTTCATTCAACAGATTCTTTATCCACATGCCTTCAGCCACCCCATGGGACATTGCTCTATATTCAGCTTTAGCACTAGACCTAGCCACCACATTTTGTTTTTTGCTTCTCCATGTGACTAGGTTTCCTCCCACAAAGGAACAATACCCACTAGTAGACTTTCTGTCATCAACTGATCCAGCCCAATCAGCATCTGTATATACTTCAATCTTCAAATGACCATTCTTTTGGTATAACAAACCAGCTCCAGGAAACCTCTTTAGGTATCTGAGTATTCTTTTTGCTGCCTCTAAGTGTGTGGTCTTAGGAGCATGCATGAACTGACTAAGAACACCTACTGCATAAGCAATGTCTGGCCTGGTCATGGATAAATACATGAGCCTTCCCACAAGTCTCTGGAATTGTTTTACATCTTTGACAACTTCACCACAACAGTCACCCAGTCTGTGATTTGGATCAATGGGAGAGTCAACTGGCTTAACCCCTAGTTTTCCTATATCCTGTAACAGATCTAGGATGTATTTCCTCTGAGAAATGAAAATCCCCTTTTGAGAGCGGGCCACTTCAATTCCAAGGAAATATCAAAGAGGACCTAGATCTTTCACCTCAAATTGAGTGGCTAAGAAATCTTTTAGTCTCTGAATTTCAGCCTTCCAGTCACCTGTGATCACTATGTCATCAACATACACTATTAAGGCTGCAATCTTTCCTTCCCCTCTTTTCACAAATAGGGTATGGTCAGTTTGACATTGTTTGTAGCCAATCTATTGTATAGCCAGATGAAACTTGCTCAACCAGGCTCTCAGTGATTGCTTCAAACCATACATAGACTTCTTTAGTCTACACACTTTCTGCTCTTTGCCTAGGGCACTAAAGCCAGGAGGTTGAACCATGTATACCTCTTCCTCAAGGTCTCCATTTAGAAAGGCATTTTTAATGTCTAGCTGATGAAGATCCCAATCAAGATTTGCCACAAGGGAGAAAAGGACTCCAATAGAGTTCATCTTGGCTACTGGGGCAAAGGTCTCTGCATAATCTATACCATATACCTGGGTAAACCCTTTTTCCACCAACCTAGCCTTGTACTTTTCTATCGTGCCATCATCTTTGTGTTTCATGGTGAACATCCACTTGCACCATACCGATTCCTTATCCTCAGGAAGATCCACTAATTCCACATACCATTTTTATGTAGGGCATTTATTTCCTCTTTCATTGCATCTGTCCATTCAGGTACTAAGAGAGCTTTTGCCACATTTTTTGGGATAGGGACACTATCAATGGAAGAAATGAAAGCACGAAAGGAGGGTGAGATGTTCTCATAGGTAACAAAATGGATAATAGGATACTTGGTGGTACAAGACCTAACTCCCTTCCTTTTTGCAATAGGAATGTCAAGGTCATCACTAGATGGAATTTTTATGGCAAAAGGATCAGGAACATCAATAGGGATGATAGAACCTGGTTGGATATTGTTGACAGTTGTTTGTGTACTCAGGTTTAGTACCACAAGGGTACTGTTGTAATTTCTCTCCTATTTATATTGTACGACTAGACCAGTATAAATAATAATTCTTTCACTCGCCCCCTGTATTCTGGAGGGCTTTCAGTCCACTCGACTCTCCTCTCTTCTCTCTTCTCCTCTCCTCTCTTCTCTTGCTCTTGCTCTTGCTCAACATGGTATCAGAGCAAGTCGTCTAGACCTGAAGGGTGGTGTCAAGCAAACTGTTGTTGCATCTAGTTCGATCCAGAAGTTATAGTGACCTTTCATCTCCCAGAGCTGTCTCCATCGAACTCCTAATCTGGTGTATTCAGTTCGACCCAGAAGTTACAGTCTTTTCATCTTCCAGCCCAGAAGTTGCACCTCTTGTCTACTCGACTGTAGAGAGGCTATTGTTTGAGGTTCGTAGAGGGAGTTCTGGTTTACAGGGAGACTATCATCTGAAACTAAAAGAGGTACTGGTCATCTTTTGTTCGGCTGCCTATTGTTTGAGGTTCGTAGAGGGAGTTCTGGTTTACAAGGA